ATATTTACCTAAACTTGTCTTCTTCCTAACAGGGTCATCCCTGTGACATGATGGGATGAGGAAGTTGTGAAACGCTGTATGGTAGTCCTACTGTTTAGGAATATATAATTCTCTATTGATATGCTAAGAAGACATTTGGGATCGAGGTTTTAAAGGCAGATATCCACCAGGGAGTTGTGGGCTTGCTGAGGGTAGCTGCATAATCAGCTCTACCATCAGCTAACTGATGTTCTGCATAATAGAGATGGGATTTCTGGGTCAGTGTGTGTGTGTGTGTGTGTGTGGCTGTGGTGGTGGGGGTTTGTCCTTTTATCTGCATGGATGTGTGCATGTCTGCATGTGTATGCATGTGTGTAGAATATGTCTGTATGTTTATCTCCACATGTGTATATGTGTGTGTGTGCATGTGTGTGAGGGGCACTGACCTCTTTCCCCACAGGGAGGACAGTCCCTGTCTCATTAGGTAAGAAAGATTGAGAGTGAGATGGACAGACAGGAAGGGAGAGAAAGAACAAAAAAACAGTTGATGGAGAGAAAGACAGAGAGCAGCAGAGGAAGGCAGGCACAGAATGTAGTAAGGGGTCAAAGTTCACACATCCATTACTACAATGAGCAGGAAGAGCCATGGCGAAGGAGGTCATGACGTTTTCTGATTCACAGAAAAAAGACACACACACACACACACACACACACACACACACACACACACACACACATCCCACTTCATGGGGTATATGTCCCAATCCAGACCTGACTGTGCCTTAATTGAATCAAGACACAGTGTGTGGGTGTTTGAGGTTTAGGAAACAGGGGAAGAAAGGATCCATGGGTGGATGATGGAAGAGCGGGTTTGTGTGTGCATGTGTGTGCGTTTATATAGACTGAAAATCTGATAGTCAGGCTATGTGTGAGTATGTGTGTGTGTGTGTGTGTGTGTAAGTGCACCCGTGGCTTCATCTGTATTCGTCAGCGTGTGGTGGTGCACACATTTGAGTAGAAACGCGTGGGTGTAATATACATTTGAGTTTGGGATTACTCAGACCTCTGGAGTCTTGCTCCAGCCTTCGTGCCTGGCGACACAGAAGGCAAGTTATTTCTTTTAGAATTGGGTATAGCTCTTTTTTTCTCCCAGACAAAGCAAGGGGTTATATAAGAACAGAGAGAAAAAAGGAGAGAGGAGGGAGAAGAGACTACAAAAGCATAGTATAAGTGAATCAAAGGATAAACTGTAGCGTGGGTTATTGTGCATATAATATCTGAGTCATTAAAGGATATTGAAGTTAAACTTTGTAGGAGAATGAAAAAAATAATAATCAGGGATGAGAGAGAAAGACTGAGGCTGAGTGATGGAGAAATGGTGAATGAATGTCATGATAATCCCACAGAAATAACAAAAAAAAAAAGGCACTGAAGTACAAAGCAACCACAACAGAAGCCCTAAACTTCAACAAAGTCCACCCTGTTATGATCACAGAACGGTGCGGTTCATCTGACAGGAGGCTCCTATAGTTATTACAGTCATAATCCAAACTCCTCCTGTGTTCATGTTACAGCACTTAGGTCTACACATGGACCAAAGATCAGGTTCTTCAGTCACTTGTGGAACCAATCTGCGTCTTTTAACCTGACACCAATACTTCCATAGTGTCCCAGTGGTTCAGCGTTTTGATTCTCCCACAAAGGTCAGAGTTTACATTGCTCATTTGAAGGGTTCCATTCAGATATGTTGTTGTATTAGAAAGTGAGAAATGACTGGGTTCAGGATGAGAGAAAGATCGATGGATGTAGGAGAGGGAGAAATGCGGAGAAACAGCCGAAGGGAACCGGAGCGTTGGACCGAGAAACAGACAGACACCGAGGGCAGAGATAGAGCGAGAGTCATCGAGGGAAGGAATAGAGAGGGGGAGAATTAAAGAAACCACAACAGAAGCCATAAGCCCACTAAGTCCCCTTCTCCTGATGATGGTGTGGTGTGGTGGGAGACCTGGCACAACTTTGTAGAGTGCAGCCCTTTTCTAAACATCCCATCCATACACCCAGTCAGGGACAAAGTCACAGCTAACCACATCACAGAGTCTGTGCGTGCGTGTGCGTGTGTGGTTAGCTCCCAGGCTCACAGAAGGCATACGCTGCCTGAGCGTGTCAGAGCTGTCTCTTGATCTCATCTGTCTTTTTATTGCCTAATCCCTGTCTCTCCACTCGTTCCTCTTTTCCTCCCTCTGCACACCCCTGTTTTTGCCCTTCATCTTCTCTCGTCCATTCGCTATAGATGGGTTTCAGATAGAAGCCAAACCACCATATGGGCCATTCATGCACTATCCTGATGGTTGTGAGCGAGACCATGGTTCGCTCATGAATGTTTCATTCTGGTTTACATAACAGTGGCTCAGCTCTTTGGTAGCGCACGCTGAATGTATGATTACAAAATGCTGTCTGTTCCACTCAGCTTATTCTTACTCTGTCTGTCTGTCAGTCTCTCTTTCATTCTCTGCCCCTTTAAATTTGTCTCTGGTTTGCTTTCTGTCACATTTCATGAAAATAACATCATGCAATCGAGACAAACCGCCATCACACTGAACCCTCTGCTTTTTTTTTCCCAAATCAACTTGCTTTATGGACAGGACATGTTTCATTACCTCTGCCAAGGAGGTAATCTTTTAATTGCCACAGTCAGCAGAATTATTCAACAACTACTTGGCAGATTACCACAAAACTTGGGAGAGGATGCAGTACGGGTCAGAAAAGAGCCAAGTACATTTTGGTGCAGATCTGGATCAGAGGCAGATCCACTGCAAAGTAGGTTGTTTTCAGCATTTTCATTGATTTCACAGAAAATAATTACTGGATGTTGATAATGATGATTATATCTATGAGCAATTTCATGCAGATCCAAAATAAATTAAGAATCTGGAAAAGCAAGTTTTAATGTGGCTTCATAAGGGGACGGTTGGGCCTTGGTTGAGGTATGCGCGAGTCCCCTTGTGTTTTCACCAGTTCTCAAAAACTACTGAACAAATTTACATGCAATTTTGTGGAGGGTTGGAGCACGATTCAAGGGAGAGATTTTGGAGCAGAACCAGTTAAATGGATAGAGTACCGAGTCCCCTTTTTGTTTGTGGTATAATTGCATCCACAGAATGAAATAATGGATAAATTAAAAGACAGACATTTGGCATAATAAAACGATGATGGTCGGCAAAAAATAAATAAAGAGCAAAGAGAAAGAGCTCGGAGATCACAGATTAAATTTGTGATATTCAATGAAAGATTATTAATCTGCATCAGAGCAAACGCATAATGAAGAAGAGCTACAGTATATCCCAGAAAAATTCTTCTTTTATTTCACCTTAAAGAATCAATCTATACAGAACATTGAGGCAGTGAGTGCAAGTGCATAGATGATTTGTCTTCTATCTGTCTTGCCTAGAGGCAGCAGGAGACAAACTATCTTGCCATACTTCTGTTTCCCCTGAACAGAAAGAGGAAGCCTTTTTATTTTCTGGCAAGGTCGTGAAGCTTGGAGTAACTTTTTCAAAACTTTGGTCATATTTTATTCCTATCGTTTTTGGGATGCACACAGAGATAGTGTTTTATTTCTCCACTCTGTGATATTGTGTCCTAAGTAGAACTCAGAGACTGCTGACTGCGTCAACCTTCCTAATGCTGCTGTTGTGTTATATGTTTCTGCAGTAATATGAGATGAGACGTGATTTTTATGTCACCCTTTTATGATTTTGTCTACAGTTACTGCAGCAGGTATTCATTTTGTCCTCCTTCAGGGCAGCTATCGCTCCCTCGTGTCAGTCTGTCTGACTTTTAATTAACATCCCGATCAACTTACTGGGTTCAGAGTTTCAACTCTTCTGCCTCAAACAAGGCCCTGCCATTAATGAAATAAACTACCTCAGCCTTTTGACTCTAAAGGCTAAATTTACATAAGAGAAGGCACAGCTCAAATTCCAGTCAATTTGCTCATACAATCTGCCTGTAATTAGGGTCTGATTTACTGAGGCAACAGATAATTAGACAATCAGTGGCTGGGACTGCCTTCTAGGCGCATTCTCTGGGTGAAGGAGGATCAGCTTCTCTGCTGTGTCGTCTCCAGCGACAGTTCACACTGAGAAACAGAAGTTCTGTGTGAGACATTTCTGGAAGACGCTGCATGTGAGATACGTACTCTGGTTGAATGAAGAGGTTAATTTCTGGTCATGAACATTAAAAGAGTGTAATGTTACATTCATACAACTCCTTTAATGCTCTTTTTTGGACCAAACTAAAAAGTCATAATCACCACTGCGCAGACTCCATATGTGCAAGGTGGCAGCGTACGTGTCCGGCAATATTATGGCTCTGGCTAGTGGGAGGAGGTGGAGCGTGTCGTGTCGACATTTAGCGTCTGTAGACTGTAGATGGGGCAGTGTGTCTGCCGTTAAAATGCTTCTGCAGTGCTAAGCTAAGCCATGACTATGTACTGTACGAGTCAGAGTCCCTCTAACCAGCCATAAATGTGAAAATAGTTAATGTGTTTCCATGTCGGTCATCTGCTATTTCTGCACCAGTTGTGGCCCTAACCTCGTCTTCTTCAAACACAGCCTTCAATACAGTGCATGAGTCAGGTTCTTCTATAAACACGGTGCTGAGCAGACAGTCACCCACAAATGTCTGCCTACGTCTCCACACATTGGCAGATATCCTACAGCAGGGGTTCCAAACCTCTCTTTAACCTACCACTGGAAGCAGTTTGACTCCTTCCATGACACCAGGTCATTAAAGGATATTAGGAGCTGTATGAGAAGAGTGATGATAATAATCTCCTTTATATTCTCTCTTGTTAATGCCATCTCATATCTCACTCTTTGTCTCTTTCATCACTTATTCGGTCAGAATCTCAGACATACTCTGTCTAGCCGTTTGCAGTGGTGATAACTGTACATGAGTCAGGCCTTCTGGTATGCTTTGTTGAGATTTTCTCCCTTTCTCTCTCTCCTGCTCCGTGTCAGGTCCTCTCTGCCGTTTAGTAGACTGTGAAGCTGACAGACGATGCCCATGAATGATGAATGATGACTGGAGGTCTGTCTGATGCCAACAGAATGCATAATACAGCATGGATACAGCGATTCCAGTCCTTCCCAGCAGAAACATAGCACGGTTACCGCATCACCGGCAGATCTACCCCTCAGCGGAAAAGTGCCTATGTTTGACATTACATTCAGGTATGTTGTTTCTTTACCTGGAATCCTAAACCATCCAGTTATAACAGTAGATCAAATAATTCAGTTTGGCAGCTTTAAAAAGACTGAGCTGGTGAGACTTCAATTACACTGTAAAAAACAGATTATGTCACTTTCTCTTAAAGATGAAATAATGTCTCCATGTGGAGGCCATGCCAAACGTGGGTATTTCTTAAGCTTTTATATCTTATGATGCAAACAATATATTTGGATAAATGAAGATTCCTAACTTGATCCTGTTGACTTGTAAAGTTTTGAACTCTCACAAACTTTAATGGTTGTATACATAGTTGATTTGAACCCTTAATCCAGCCTATTGAAAGCATCAAGGTGCTATATAGTGTACCTCTGACCCTATACTTCACCAGCATCACAAGATTCCCATCCATCATTTCATACTTTCACATAAATTATGAATGCTTGTTCTTGTTTTTATGCTACGAGGACATTTCTGACCTTTTGCAGAAGAAGTGGGAGTTTATCTGTTTCCGCACACACTTTGTCTGTGTATGTTCATGGAGTGGGCGGACGCAGACATGTATACAGACATGGATTACATGTCTGCATCACTGTGTTTCTGCTTTTGAATGTGTGGGCACGGTTATACCCAGGGTGCACAGGCATGTTTCTGTGCACGTGTCGTGTATGGCAGGCATGGGCTGCAGATGCCTGTAAGCACTGTACATGTCTGTGTGCCAGTGCCAAAGCATGTGCAGTTATAGTGCGCAAAGAGTGTGTGTGTGTGTGTGTGTTCATGTGTGTGTTCCTAGTATGTAGGTCACCAATATATTCCTGATGAGGTCTAGTCCTCTGGAGAACTCTACAGATATGAGAGTCTAAATTAGACACTATTATCTGTGTGTGTGTCAGCATGTGTGTGTATGTGTGTGTGTGTGTGTGTGTGTGTGTGTGTGTGCATTCAGCGAGAGAAAGAGAGACAGAGAAAAATAGACACCGTGATTAGACAAGGGCCTCATAGGCATGCATGTTCAATTTTGTGCACATGCTTGCTTTTACATGTACAGAGCAATATGGCGGGTGTGTAGGTGTTAAATTGCATGCTATTTCCAGCATGTATGTGTGCGTGTGTGTGCGTGTACATGGGTGTGATTGCATGTATGTGTGTGTAAAAAATGACACACCAGTGTCATCTGACAGGCTTGTTGCCTGTTACCACTGACCTCGGACTGTAAACCTCAACCCTCAATTTTAACGACTGTTGGCTCAGAAGGCCTGTCCATACTGCTGTTCGCAAGCCAAACTGCTAATAAGCCTTGAGCACCAATCCAAGAAAACTATGTGGCCAATTGCATAGCAGTGTCCATGTGTTAAGGTGTTACAATATGTAGAAAACACATGCAGAACCGATAAGAAGTGTGTTTGCAGTGGGATTAAAGGGAAAAAAAGCTGCATAGAATGCACTAGAAATTATGGATTATGCTTTTAAGATGAGTTTTCAGGACAGCTGAATGTTTTAACGAGACATGTTTTTGGTCAATCAAACCTGCTCACAAATGATTCCATGGTTAGCAGTTATACTTCGATTAAGCACTTCCACATGGGTGCCATTAAAGCACCAAGGACAAAGATAATGAGGTTTCTCTTTGGCATACAGACTTACGCATCTTAATGTCACTTCCTCAATAAAAAAATGTGGCGTTCTGCATAGCCGCTGATCTCGGATGGTTTTTGTGAAACATTACATGTAATCCCCCTTCATTTCATGAGTTCTACATTTCCAGCCAGCCTCCTGTCTGTAAGTCACCGGGACAATACCACATGCAGTCAATCTGTCAAAGCAATTCAGAATTTTGCTCGAGCTCAGCCCCAAAAAGTTATACTCAAACCCGGGAGACATGAATGGGAGTGAGAATGTCTACCTTTGAAAAGCTTCATGCTTTGACCAAATCATATGCTGTCACTTCTAAGCTTTAGAAGGCCTGCACTTTTCATCAAAGCCCTTGATGGCTACCTTTCACAGTACTGTCGAATACACCCTCAAAAGCTTCCCTCCCTCCTTTCCTCCCATCCCCTCCCAAATCTCTTTCTTCTCCCCTCCAATGTCGACTGCCCCTCTTCCCTGCCTTTTCCTCCCCCCCTTTCTCAATCCTTCCATTCCCCTTGTCCTTAATCCCTCCCTCCCTCCTTCCCTTCCCTCCTCAATCAAACCCTCAAATCCCTTCACGTTTTTTTTCCCCTTTCTCCGTGCATGTGTGACTTCAGTACTGTCAAGGTAGATGAAACAAGAGAAATTCAGATTCATCACAGCCATAACCTGCCATGATAATAATCCGCGACTATTCTTCCCATGTGGCAGTAGGCCAGTGTTACTGGCCTTTTTGGGGTTTATTTGCATATTTGTTTCCCCTTTGTTTCTTTTGATGAATTATTTACAGCAGAGTGAAATGACAGCGGAGATCAGTGAGGATTGCTGTCATGGGTGGATGGGTGCCTTTCCTCCTCTTTGTAATTATTCCCTGTTTTCCTGATTTTCAATCAAGTTTTTCCACTCATGTTCCTCCCGGTGACAAGAGATGAGAAAAAGAAAAACACACATCCATTTTAGCATTGCCAGTGGAACCTTTGCACTGTCTAGCGGGAATGCAGCTGCCTTTGTTGTCGTAATGATTTCGGAGCAGGAGAAAGCAGGAAAAGAGAGGAGTGAAGGGAACGAGAGTGAGAGATCAAATGGAAAAAATACTGTAAAACACAAATGTGCTGGGAGGGCACCCCCCCCCACACACAGGAGAGCAGAGCGAGAACACACACATCCTGCTTTTCATCATTCAGCCAATCAAGAGACTTGATAAACTATAATTAATCGGCTCTGTTTTTCATCCCTTTGAGTTGAGATTGAAAGTCAAAATCAAAATGAACTTCCAGGTGCTTCAGGTTCAGACCACAGATGTATTTGCACACAAAGCAATGTTGTAATCGCAGTGAGCTGTGGCCACATAGGGCCCTTGATTGTAAGCCTCACAAACTGTACTCGGTGTGTATCAGGGATCTGCCGTCGGAACACACACTCATGCACACATGCAACATACTGCCACTCTGTCCCTGCATTGCCCTATCCAGGAATAACAATGCATAATTCATGTCCCAGAGTCTTGTCTGCAGACAAAAGTCAGCGTTTGCATTTATTATTTATTGAAAACAGTTCACATGATGAATCCTTTAACAAACAGGATCTTCCAGTCAGCACTGCACCTACTTCTTCTTCTCTTGCTGTTTGTGTTTTGGCATACATTTAAGTGGGCTCATTAGCCGAGATGAGGATGTAAGGAGAGGAGAGGAATGGCAGTGGAAAAAGAGATAGAGAGGGAAAGGGGGAGTGAAAGGATTGAAATGAGGCTAAAGGATAAAGGGAGGGTTTTTGTAAAGGTATGAATTAATGAGGGACGTGTGCATCAGCAGCTAATTAATTTAACAATGAAATGCTTTAGGGAAAAGTTTTAACTTTTAAGACTTCCTCACAATGATACAGTAAAAGTTTGCTATCTCCTCCCTGTGGGTATTTAACATGACTTAATTGCAATGCAAAACCTGGAGGTAATGGATTTGTGTCAGTGTATATTATTATAATCTTTTTATGCTTGTTGCAACAGCAGTACTAACACATCAGTAGAATGACTACAAGAAAAGTCTCCAGCACACACACACACACACACACACACACACACACACACTGTCACAGTTACACTTGTTGTGTGGACAGCTCACAGTGAGGATGGGAGGCAATTGTAGAGCGAAGGGAGCATTTGCAATCCTATGCTAATGCAGTTATCATTTATTCTGGAACACATGCCTTTTTATTCCCCTTCTACGCCACCCCTTCACCATCCATCACTCATCTAAGGCATGATGTATTATCTTTGCGGAACGTTTTATATTCAGTCTCCCCCTTAGATGGGTGGACACACACGCGCACTTATTTTTGTTAAATAAAAAAAAATCAAATCTGCTCCAGCAAAGGTTGAATAATTGATGGGTTATGTTAAAAAAAAGGAATGAAATAATCATAGTCTGTTGGATGTTGGAGGAACATCAAACCCAGAGTCGGAGCTTGGCAGAATGGGCTGAGCAGGGTAAGGGCCTTATGTATTTGGGACGGCTGCCCTGTGAAATAATAATGAGTAGCAAAGAAAGGGATTAGGAGATTTTTGTTCTGCACTGTACCTGACACTCTGTGCGTGCTAACCCAAAGAACAACTGAGCACATCTATCCTGCATTAATACAGCAATTTTTTTATAAAAATTGAGTAATTGGTTGGTGGGCTGGAGTCCATCAGGCCTGCAGTAGAAAACGACACCAGTATCACAAGTGATGATATAATGGGACAATGTTAGGGGAAGAAGAAGCTGCAGGTACACCAAGGATCCAACCACAGCATTTATTTTATTTTGATGATCTTAATGGTAGGGTTGGTCATTCTGAAACATTATTTTATCGTATTTCAAGTCCATCAATAAATAAAGTTAAAATTATTGGCAGGGATACCTGTCCATCAAAAACTGACCCTGTCTGAGCTCTCACTGCACATGACCAAGTCGGAGAGACACACACTGCTGAAGCAGAGGCGACAGTCAGAAGTTACTGAGTCAGTCGTGGAAAAGTCGGCTTCTGACAGTTTTCAGTCCGTGCACGTTCATGGGCTTTTGGGGGGCGTAGCTTTGCATGAGGGCCGATGGGATGTATGGGTTGTATTCTTTCAGTGTCTCCTCTTGCTAGCTTTGACAGGATTACCTACTCTACATTTAACTCTGTTTCTCAGAGAACAAGTTGTCGAAGCGCTAGAGAACATTACCTATTGATAACAGCCACCACCGTGTGCACAGCCTTAAGTTGTGAACATACATTGCACATTATTTGTCACTTTACTATGCTATGAGCTCATGGTGATGGTAAAACATAATAATATCTGCTTGGTTGCCACTGTGGACTAGTGGGGCTTGTTTTCATGGCTATAAAAGTCATCCAT